ATTGTACTCTTTGTGTAGACTTTTGTTGTTGGCTTTGTCTATTATGCACTCATTGCTTTTTTAAAGTTTGAATCGAGATTTAAGCTGCCTGGGTTTTCTGTAGACAGACATTGCAATATTTGTTGTTTCTAGTTGTCTTGCCAGTTTTAGAACAATCTTTTCCTAAAGGGGAATCAAAAGAATGCTTGTCCAAGATTTGGAATTTTAATGTCAATGGATATGTATTGAATCTTTTGGTGTACTAACGATTGGTCCTTATTTCTCGGATGTTTTTGAAGGAAATTGACTCAAGAGCTTCCTAGCAAACACTTCTTTTTGCAGACATTTTTTTCTGCTACTACTGCAATGCCCTTCCCACGAGGACCAACCACTTACGATGAGGTCTCAGTGCCACAAAACATGCTGCTAACCGATAGTCTTGAGGTACTTTCTCGTTATGGCTTTTAACAAAGCTAATACATAGTTTCGTTTTTACTTGGCTATAGTTAGTAGAACAGCTGCAGAAATAATAAGTTTGGCATCCTTTACATTGCATTTTGGGAATCAGTTCTACCTTACACCCCTGAATATGTTGCAAAAACCTATGGTTCTGCAATGACATATCGTATGTTGCGGAACTTAACAATTTATTTTAGTAGTGTTTAAATTTTGATTACATTTCTAAATCTCAAAGGAACATGGCATGTTTGGGAGCGTTATTTCTTTTCTTAATGGGGAGGAACCATTCAAACATGTTCTTTGTTCTTTATTTTATTGTATTTTATTTTATTTTTTGTCTAGTTATTCTTGCGGTCATTGCATGATATGTAGGTTGTTTTTACAAAAACAATCTTGTAGTGCAACATGACTAGAATAATCATTTCAACCCATCGTTTTCTCATGATATTTTTCATTCAATTGGAATTTGGAAATAACATTTCAATTATCATCTCATAACAAGGTTATGACTCCAAGAGTCTCGCGTAAGACTTTGTCTATATATATTTTGCATGAATTTATAGTTTAAAAAATTAATTAATTAGCATTATAAATTCATGCCACCGAGCAAAAGTAGTTGGGATTACAATTCCAGTGATGATGATTTGTGCAGTTAATTTTGAGGTAAGTGTTATTATCATAATTACAATATTTATTTTCAGGACTTGGAAAATCTCAGAAAACAACTGTACTCTGCAGCTGAATATTTTGAGTTATCTTATATTAACCATGATCAAAAGCAGGCGTGAGTTAGTTTAAATTTTCTACATATCACATTACTATTATCTTTGGTGCTGATGTGACACATTTAAGTGCGGCAGAGGACCTTCCATTGCCTCACTATGTAATAGTGTTTTCTTCGCTTGCATTTTTTCTTTTTCATTGTTTATTATTTTTTGTTTGTAGGATTAGGTTACGGAGTACATGTTAATAAATGCTAATATTGTTCCACTCTAATTTTCTTTGCCTCCAGGTTGTAGCCTCAAGAGATTGGCCGCATGTCACAAAGTATAGGGTGCTAGTTTCTGCCCGGAAACATGGAGCTGTAATAATTGCGGATTTGTTTAATATGAAAACTTGTGAATATATAGCTCATGTAAGAAAAGTGTTCCTTCTTCCTAAAAAATAGGGCGCTAGTTTTTGCCCAGAAACATGGAGCTGAAATAATTGCGGATTTGTTTAAGATGAAAACTTGTGATTTGGCTGCAAACCGCATGTAATAGCTAATGTAATTTTTTTGTGTGTTTATACACACACACACACACACACACAGTGTGTGTGTGTGTGTAGTTTTCATCTTAAACAAATCCGCAATTATTTCAGCTCCATGTTTCTCGGTAGAAACTAGCACCCTTTACTTTGTGACGTGCGGCCAATCCATTGAGGCTACAACTAGGAGACATAGAAAGTTGGAGTAGAGAATTATTAGCATTTATTTTTAGATGTACTCCGTAATCTAATCCTACAAACCAAAAATAATAAACTTTGATAAAGAAAAACTGCAAGAAAAAAAACACTATTAGATACTGAAGCGGTAGAAGGGCTGGGACCTAGAAACATCCGCCACACTAGGATGTGTCACATGAGCACCATAGATAATAATAAGGTGGTCTGTAGATAAAGGCAATATACTCTGCACAATTTGTTCTAGCAAGTTCAATCTCTTCTATTTAGCTTGGTTCTGAAGTTTCATGCTTATACAGAGTGGTAAATACATTGAAGGATTATGCCCTCAAAGCTCTTCTTAACACCGTTGATCATTTGGGCTCTTTGACATTTAAGGCCAATGATATGTTGGAGGAAAAGGTAGTCGAAGTTTCTGGAACAGAACTTCATATATCTTGCATTGAGCAGGTGATCCTATGACACATTTACTAAGTTTTCTTTTCTTTTATGGAAATTTGTTTTATATTTTTTGGATGCTTTGTCTATGAGGTATGATGGTAAAAGTGTTCCTTCTTCCTAATTACCATAATGTTAGATTTGCATAGTGCTAAAACCAAAGTTCAAGAATGAGGCTTCAGTGGGAATTTTGATCGCTAGCCAATCAACTCTTGGCTATGTATGTGTAGTTTGCTGCAATGGACACATATTATGGACCGTTTGGAACTGGTAAAATGCTTGGGGAAAAAGTAGTGAGGAAATAATATAAGAAATCTGGACTGAAAGAACATGCAGTGGATAGAAGGGCTTCAAAGTCTATATCTTAATCCTGAATATTTGTTCAACCTCATTTTATTTAGATATTTCTGTTATATAAAGAGTTTGAAATCTAAGTACATATAAAATGTTATTCCGTACTTTTTTAAATCAAATTTGATTTTCCAAGGTAAAACCAAACCTTAAATGAATCAGTTAGCATTTCTGTTTATCCTTTCCCTACCATTATCCGAGTTCCAAACACAGAAAATATGTCATGAGAAATAACATAGCATTGAAGATTGAGTGTTGGGAAATAAAAGCTATTCAAAGATGAAAGTAGAGTCCAATAGCTCTCTCTTGGTTGCTTAAAAACTTCATGATGATGGGTGTAATTGTGAGGATAGAGGGAGTATACGGGCTTTAAATTTCATGAGCATTCATTCCCAGAGACTAAGAACATGCCAAGAGTATATTGATCAGCAGGGTGCTTCTCAGCAAATATTAAGGATAACTACTCCCAAGCACTATAAAAGGTACATCTTGCCAGGTAAGTATATTTTATTTTTCCCTCACAAAAATTGAGTCTCAGCTATAGTTGTCTTCTTTTATCCAATGAAAGTTTAACTTTTATTTTATCAGTAGGGGAACCCAGGTGTGATCTTGATGGTGATGAAGGTGTCGGGCATCAGTTTCAAAATGGTATTTTTTTTCTTTTATACACACACAGATATATATATATGTGTGTGTGTGTGTGTGTGTGTGTGTGTGTGTGTGTAGGGAGCGTCTAAAATGACACCAGTTACTTATACACCAATTGCTTACACCAGTTCGTTTGGGATACCTACGGTGCTATATATATATATATATATATATATATATATATAAAATAAGCAATGCATGTTTGGTGGTGGGTGTATCATTCAAATGCTGAAGGAATTGAGATATTATCTGCAGGTGTTGAAGCAACAACTATTAATGGCGATGCTCCACTGGCGGTTGCCTGCGGGTAAGTTGTGTTGTTACTTTTCCTAATTCATTCATCATTAAATTTGTAACTCAGTTCATCAAAATTTGGCTATATGCCTAACAGAAAAGGGCACTCTCCATCACCTTCTCTGAAGCAATCTATACCATCATCTTTGTCCACTGGCATCATGCCTAAAAGGGAGTTAGGTTCGTTCCCTTGCTGCATTCACCTCTTTGAGTCTGTTTTGCATTAACTTTAGAGTTTTGCTTTAGCATTTTGAGAAAATTATCCAACTGTAGCATTTATTTTTAGCAGTTCTAAGTCAATATGCACCATTAGAAAAGTATTCCAAACACCAACCATAAACTTTGTTTTTAATCTCTTGCATTTGTTTAATTGGATCAGAGAAGCGAACAGGGTCACCGCACCGTTTTCGTCACTTACGAACTGCATCTCTTCCTACTAAACCCAAGAGTTCTCGGCCTACCACCCCGGATCCAAGCAGACCGCCTACTCCAACCCCAACTCCTCCAAAATCACAGGTAAGCTCATATCTTTTGTATCTACTGTGACAAAAAAAATTTTTGGCAACAACTGTGACAAAGTTAGTTCATTAAATTGTATTTACAAAATTCTGGTCTAGGAACCCTCCCCCCACCCACACCCACACACCCACGCACACAAACTTGTGATTGTAAGGTTCAGGTTACTTTTGTTGATCCAATTTTCTATCTTTTTTATACTCTTTTCATCCGAAAATTATCTTCTAGTTTGACTTTTGTGGTCTCTTTCACCACCAATTAAATATAGTTTTAAATAATTAAATTTCATATAGGTTTGTATCAAAACTACATCTTATAATGAACCCAATTATATTAAATTTACATTATAACTAAATACATTTTTTTCACCTTCTCAAAAAAAAACCAATACTTTTTTTCACATTTTGTGGTCAAAGCGACCAAAAATTGTCTTGGGTGTCTGATTTTGTGGATGATATGTTTTAAAGATGCATACTTCAGAAGCATGGAAACCGACACCGTTGGAGTTCCACGGAGAAAGAGAAAAGACCAGAAACTCTGATCACCGCCCTAGCAAAAGTAAACGTCTTCTTAACGCTTTGCTCAGCCGACACAAGTCAAAGAATGATGACATGCTTTACACTTACATCGATGAATATTGATGACACAAGAACCGCTCTCTTGAAAATACTAGTAGGCTCCATTTTATGGGGAAGAAACCTTGGGCACTTCCTCTTTCTATCGTTAACAGTCTCTCCACCCTTCACTAGTAGAGGTAACTAATGTATGTGTACATCTTACCCTCCCAAGAACCATCAATGGGAATAGACTGGGTTTATTATTATTGTTGTTGTTGATGACGGTTTTATGTTTTCATTTCATTGTTATTCTTAAGAAGGTTGCAAAAAAGAACATTCAACTTAAAACATTGACACGAGATTATTACTCCCTCCGTCCTAAAACTTTCTTCCCAGAGCACTATTCGTCTATTCCAACTTCACGGGAATTTATATTTATTTGTGTTTTTTCATGGCCTATATGATAAAATAAAATATTCTTGTCACCACTTGTTTTGTTGAACTTTTGATGTTATTTTTAAATATGTATGTTTTATTTTTTATTTCTATACCAGTATTTAAATAAAATAGATTGAAAAAACTTGGGATTTTTCTTCGTTTTGCGCAACGGGAAGAAAGATATCAGACGGAGGTCGGAGGGAGTAGAAGATAGCCCCTTTGATAAGAAAGACACTTCTGGACACACCCTTCTTTGTTGTACCAAAACTATATTCATGTTTGTGCTGTGTAATTTGTTTGTTTCATTTATTATAAAATACATCTGCTGGGTATGATAGAGGCAAACTCTGCTCATAATATCCAATTTTTAGACAAAGATCATATATGGCACTGCACGTTTGCTTATAATTATTGTATTCTGGTCATTTCATGAAAATTACAATAAATAACTTGCAACCTTCAATGAAGGGTAAATTTCACAAATGGTATACGAACTTTGAATATAATTTCAATTCGATATACGAACTTCAAATTTTCTCACAAAAATACACAAACTTACAAATTTTCACTAAAAGTCCAATAACAGGTGTTCAGGTAGGCTAAACTATAATTTTATAAATTTAAAGTTATAATTTTGACCCTATCCCTTTTTTTCTTTCTTTTAATTTACTCATCTTCTATTCCTCTTCAAATCCCGTCCCCAAATTTTATCTTTTCACTTCTAGACACCACCCCCCACCTCTTCAAATCCCCTCTCCAAATGTTTTAGTCATATTTATCGTGATCACTAAACAAAATAATACGAGTACCAAAGTGGAGAGGAAAAGAAATACTCCCTCCATCCCATTTTATATTACTTGTTTTGAATTTGGGACATATTTAAAGAAACGAAAAAATATTGTTGATTTTCCAAAAATGTTCTTACTTTTTTAGGGGGGTGACGATGAATAAGAAGACAAGGTGGAGAGGATTGGCTTATTTTAGGGATGGTTTAGGTATTTTACCATTAAAAATTTACTATAATAAGAAACAGACAACTTATTTTGGGATGGACAAAAAAAGAAAACAAGCAATTTAAAATGGGACGGATGGAGTAGTACATATAATCCCAATGCCATTTTTCATGCATTGCCCACAAGGGAGCACATTCTTGCGCCTTGTTGCAAAACAAGGCCCAAAAAGCTCTAGTGCTTTTGTGGTTTGGAAAATTGACACTAATATCTCTTCTGTTTCTGAAATTTATTTCTAATGTACTCGTGGTCCCAAAATGTTGCACTCACACCCTTCCGATTATTTTCCGATGAAGAGGAGGCGCTGGTGCCTATTTTTTAAATCATAAGGGGCACACACACTCATTTCTTATTTTTTGTTTATTACTTTTTTTCCTTTTCGATTTAAATTTTTTATAATGTTTTAAAAAATTTAAAAATCTTTGTGTTGATATAAAAATTAAAAAAATTAACATATACTCCATCTATCTCAAATTAAACATTTTAAATTTTTATTTTCTATAATAATATTTTCTGTAAGTTCAAAAAGAAAATCAAAAATAAAAAACAAAAATAGGGAAAAACGAAATGAAAAAAATGGAAACATCTAAAAAATGTTTTAAACAAAAAGAAATTTTCAGAACGCCTAAAAAATCCTTAAAATTGGAATGTTCAACAAGGATATTCATTTTTATTTTATTTTATTTCTTATCTTATTCCTCATTTTTTGAAGTTCTCAAAACAAGTTTTTAATTTTTCTATTTTAGAAAATAAAAATTGTTAATTTAAGACGTACAGATGCAGTATATGTGAATTTTATTTTAAAGAAAAATACTTTTAAATTTTAAGAACATTATAAAAACAATTTTAAAAAGAAATTTTAAACACTTTGATTAATAAAAGAAACAAAAAAGGGAAAAAACAAAAAATGAATGAAAAATAAGAAATGAGCACTATTGCCCCCTAGGTTTGGAAAATAGGTACCAATGTGCCCTTTTTTCCGGAAAAATGGCTGGAAAATGACCAGATGAGATATGGTTGTGTTGGGGTATCCCTCCTACATGGAGGAAGAAGTTCTTAAGCAATACATTTAGTGTTAAAAATGTAATTTGTTTAGAGGTGGAGTAATATAATAATAATAATATTTATTATTATTATTGTTATAAAGAAAGGAAAAGAAAGTGTGGTGATGGGGCTACACTTACCTATTATTGGGCTACCACTTTTTTGAAATGAAATTGCCTTTCTATGTTTTCGCTGGTCACGGGCAGAAAGGAAGCTGCACAGCAGCAGCAAAACAGAGAAGAAATGGGGTGAGAGCCGAGAGAAGGAAGAAGAGAGAAAAAGAGAGGTGCAGCCTGGTTTTGTGCTCCGATCGACGACCAAACGAGCTCCGATCGGGATGAAATTTTAGTATGTTGTTCCTCACATCCCCTTCTTCATATCCAACGGTGGGATTGTTGTTTTGACCTCTCGATGTGGGTAAAACTGCCTCTGTTTACTGCTGCGTTTATTGCTGCGTTTATTTGGGGATTTCTCACTTTTGAGTGAAGATTATTGTTGTTTGGTGATCCAAGTTATTACTTGATGATTGTGTGTACCTCTAATTGATTTAGAGAGGATTCTTGGTGTACCCACTGATTTTTCTTGGTGATTAGTGGAAGGCTTAGTGGTTTTTTCCCCAATTTGGGGTTTCCACGTTAAATCTTGGCGTTCGTTTATCGCTTGATTGATTGGTTGTTGTTGTGTTTGCTATTCTTGATCGGTCATATGATTTTGCCCATTTTGACAACACAAAGACGGGAAAATTATTAATTGCTTCCGCTAGAAAATTGAGGTGATTTTCCCAACAGGTTGCAATATTTTGAAATTACGAGCACTTTAGAAACCTATACTATATTTAAAAAAAGGGAAATTCTCCTTTGTATTTTTCCTCATAAATGGTCTTCAATCACAAAAGGTATAAATAGGTTAGTGTTAATGTAATAGTAGCGTGTAGAAGGTAATAAATATTTATAAATTATAATGTATCGTGTGTAATAAATTAAAGTGTCGAGTAAAAGGTAATTATGGTAATTAAATTTCCGTGTAATATATTATTTATTAATAAGGTAATTCCATACCTTAAATTTTTTAATACCGTGTTATAAAAACTATAATTAACACGTAGGATAAAAAGTATAATTTTTAAATGTCCTTTTATAAAAAGTATAGATGTTACTTATTATGGTACCATGTGAATAAAAGTGTTCTCATACCAAATACTTTTTGGTCCAACATTATTTATTATAAATGAAATTTAAAAGTTTGGAAATTGAAATGATATGAAAAAATAGATCAAAAAATAATTATGTTTCCGTTTTTACTTTATACGTATGTTAAATAAGGTAATTTTATTATAACGTTGCCTTGAACAAAAAAATATTCTCATACTTTTAATAATCGAAATTAAAATTAAAGTGGTGTTTCTTTTTATACTTTATATGTATTTTAGATAAAGTATTTTCCTGATACACAATTTTGGTAAGAAAGAATCATAAATACACGTTGATAATTAAAAATTTAAGTGAATAAAGAAATGTTGAAATGATAAGTAACACCAACCGTATAATTTGGCAAATATTACATTGCAATTTTAAAAATAAAAAATCTGAAAAAGGAAAATAGAATAAGCAAAAAACTTTTCATAATATAAATATGATCATTTGCAAAGATTTTCATAATTAATTTCTTTCGAGTGCGTTGTTAAATCCGTGTCATTGAAAAGGGATTTTAATTTAATAACGTAAATATAACCGGTGCAACGCACATGAGTGATACTAGTAAATTTTGAAATAAGGATGATATTAATGTCTATTTTCCAAACCACGAAAATACTGGTGTTATTTGGCCTGCAAAACAAACACCCATGCCCATTAAAAGTTTGAGATGTTCTGATTAATTGGGGTTTCAAGGTAGGTTGTCCTCACCCGCGGCTACTTCGGAGTTCCCAAGTACTCCGTATTAGAATCCCTTGCGCGAATGTCACTTTATAAAAAGAAATGTTAATATTTGAAATTTCCAAGACTCCAATGACTACCACTTCTTAATCATTTTGAAATCTGCAAAGCAAGGCCTCTGATAATAGCTCTAACTTAACTCCAATTTTGGACTCCACTGGACCTTGGTATCATTTAGAATATTACAAGCAGGCAATATTGGAGATCAAAAACATTACATATGACATTACCACATTTTGAAAAGAAGACAAACTTGAACACGCATTACGCCTTTTTACCAATAATGCCTTTTTTATGGTCTATCTAAGACACTCACTCTATGACTCTAGTGTGTCTATCTCAGGAACTCCACCTCACCAATGAAAACGCCACGCTAACTTGGCACGTTGCCGGTCAGCAGTTCCAAATCTGCCGTCCACGTCTTTTCAAGGACCATCTTCTTGAGCTGGATTGTTAATAGAGAGATGCAGCATATCAATTCAATGTGGGAGAATAGTGCTTGGCTTTTATGCTTATAAAATATATACACATTGTGGTTATGACTAGTAAGATAAATGTGTTTCTTTTTCCACCACATTTCACACTACTCATTTATAGCACACAGCCTGAGAGAGACTTACTGCTTAAAATAAATCCTTGAAGCAAGCTCTGAGCTCTTTCAGCTTGATCAGGAGTGCCCGATATTTGGATAATCTTCTCTGTTTCTTCCGGTCTATCTTCAATCAATTTGACGGTAGCCCCCGACAGCTGTTGACATTACAAATCCATGAAAAAGGGATGTATATGTGGTTGTGTAGCAGTAAAAGCAGTGGAAAGAAAACACACAACTCACCTCACTAATCTGAGCAAGCTTGTTTCTAGATTTGGTTATTAGTTTTGGAGCTGCGTGTGGTGGAATGACTACTTCCAATGTACTTCTAGTGACTAATGGCACATGTATTCTATCATCACATATGGAAAGAAAGAGGAGGCATGTGAATCGGAATGGAGTGTCCTTGCAACGTGACTGTTGAAGATGAATGAAGATTTGTACCTATTCAATGCACTTGGCATATCTTTAAGGCGTTCACCGAAATTCTGATTTGATGTCTCACCCACAGGGACTCCACCTTCCTACCAAAAGATATATGCACAATGCTTGAAATCAAAGACAACTAACTAACTTTTAGCATTAAAGAGTTAGGGGTTTCATATGAATGTAAGAAGATATAAGAGCCTCTCCTAATCATTTGGCATGCAGAAATTTACTAAATACCTTCAATGGATGGGGAGTTTGTATACTCAATCCATTTTGAAGGGCTGAAGCAGCAGGATCAGTTAAAACACGAGTTTCCTGAGACAAGGAGGAATAGTTGTTGGCAGAAGCAGTCTCTGTCCCACTAACACTCCCTACAGGGCTGGGGGGAGATATAGGAGATGTTTCTTTCACGAACAGCGCTCGATAAATGTAACTCCTTAGCCTTGTGGTAACCTCAATAAGTGCTTCCCTAGCCGCTCTTATCTCGCCAACAATCTGCAGATATTGCATAATTAATCAACATTTAAATCAGTAGTCAAACAAGCATGGCCCTACCAATGGTTCTTACTTCCTAATCAAGAACAGTGATAAAAATAAATGCATATAAAAGCAGAATTGAATTTAAGGACAACCTGTACAATCACATCGGTTTCTGATAGACCGGATTCCTTTGGAAGAATCTGGACCACTGCTCCATTTATTTTCTCCATCTCAGAAACCCCTCGTAAGCATCCGACCTCATCTGATTGCACAACTAACCGAGTTGTGACTATGTTTTCCTTTTCTGAAACAAGATCAACGATGGCTGTTTGTATATGCAACAAAGCTTCTTGAGCAGGGAAGAGCTCATCATCAGGTCCCTACCCAAAAACAGACCAATAATCATTATATGAACTCATTCATCACCTATATATTCTCAACTTCCGTATTAGTTAGCATAAAAAGATTGAATGCAATATGGGGCTAACAAAGCAAAACAGCCAATACAAAAGAAGATTGAAAAAAAACAGATGCAGCTAATACATACCTCATCAGATGATATGATAATAATCTGCTCATTGAACCCAGCAACAGGCTCAGTGATCTCAACATGCACACCAATATCATTCTGAAGCAAGTCTATAATGCCATCTGACTCCCCAATAATGGCATCAACCTTATAAACGGGACAAATAATTCTAAACACAAGAATTTCACTGGTAATCAACTGTTCATTGTTGTCTGTGAAAGGGGGGCCACCTGATTCGATGGCATACCCAGAAGGGCGAGAGGAATTACTAGAATAACCCCGGGAAGTGTTGAGACTCCTAGATAATCTAGAACCATCAACAGATGCTCGGCGTCCCAAATCATGCACGGGTGGAATAAAATCGTCACTTGGAGGAAAAACATGTTCAGGCGAATGCAACCTTCCATGGAAATTATTGCGATCACGGTGTTGGCTCTCCCTCAAGCGTGACGAAATTATTCCTAAGGCATTTTTTACATTATTCATTTCTCCAGTGACCTGAGTGAAAAAGGTGAGTAACTCAAGAGGTACTAAAAGTCTAAAACCAGGGATACACAACATTTTGTTTCAAGTCAAAGAGTATGATGAGAAAAGGATATTCAATTGGAGCAACTACTCCTTTCAGCTTCTAACCAACTCATAGAAATCGCAGCAAAGATACTCAAAACATTTAAAAAATACATAATGAATTCAAGACATCATAATCTAGGTCTAACATATGAATGCACACGTCAATCCACAAGTCATGCTAGATTATTACCAGCCAGCTTCCACTTATAAAATAACTCCATACATATTAATAAAACTAGTTGCTCTTGTCCATACCAAATGGATTCTTTATAATGCAAAAATCCATCAGTGTTTAAAATATTATGCTTCTAATACAGTCTGGCTGCCTGTAAAATCACCCCCATTTAAGATTACAGTAGAAGCCCTAGAAGGTCATAGTATGTTCCCATAGTATGTTCAAGGTTAAGTTTTAATTGAGGTGAAGTTTATGCAGAGTTCGAAGAGCAGAACCAAATTATAGCCATGTTCAGTTTCTTCCAACACTAACAATGCAAATGAAAGCTCGAACTTCAGAGTTTGCAACTAAAGAACTTCAAAGAAGGATAAGATTGATGAACACCTGAACAATCTCTTCAGACATTGCTACACAGCGAGGTAAATTGTTGTCTCTGGGTAACACCCTAATATGGGTCTTAGTCTCATTCCTCATTTGCTCAATAATTTTCCCTCCTTTCCCAAGTAAGCTTCCCACATGTACTCTTGAAACCACCAGCCTAGTCACCACTCGGTTAGCTCCCCCTCCGCCCCCAGCTCTCCCTCCATACTCATCCCTATCCTCACCACCAAACTCCGCATCACTCTCCAATATCCGCTGATGCACTAGTAACAAGGCCTCCTGGGCCGGCGAGAATGCGGGCATTCTGCCATCTGGGTCCCGCCTCCGAGTGTCAGAAATCTCGATGATTCGCTCTTCATCCCCTTGCACCAACTCATGCACGTTAATCCAAGCCCCCGTGTGCTGCCTAATGGACTTAATAATGCTGCCGGACTTTCCAATTACGCCCCCCACCTTCACATCGTGACACAAGATCCTATAAGTCGTAGTCACCATGAACGAAGGGTCTTGCACTTTCCGACCTCCGCCGCTGTTCCCGGCGCCATTTGAGACAAACCGGCGGTGATGGTTGGACTGCGGCGCGTGATGGTAGTTGTTATGTGGATTATATCTCTGTTTTGTCCGGGGTAGGTTGTCCGAATCATAGTCTTGGTCGTAGTAAGACCTCTTCGATCTTGATCTATCCATATCCTTGCCTACAAATCCGAGAATATAGGTCGCCGAAACGTCCTCTCAAATCCTCAATTCAATCATTATCCACTCGCGAATTCCACACCTCCAAGTTTAGGGTTTCGTCAAATAAAAAATCCGTTAAAAAGGAGTGTTCTTACTAAACTTTGGTCAATTTACAGAGAAAACGCTGAGAGCAAATTATCAAACCCTACAAGGAAATGTGAGTTCAACAGAATGTAGGAAAGAGTTGAGATATCGAAGCCATTTCTCATGATTACTGATACTCTGCTAGTTCTATAAATGCTTTTCTTCCAAAAACACACCAAAAAAACGCAGGAAGAAAAAGGATATGAAAAAAATGGTCCAATGTAAAAAAATTCTTAGGAAATTATTCCAAGGTCTCTATTACACAAGTCTTTCTAGCATAATCACTCGTGCGCGCCCAAGAAAACTTCCCGAAAGGTTACCCAAACTCTCGAAAAAAAAATGTACTTTGTTCGTATGAGTATTACTATCAATCCTTTTGAGTTCTTCTCATTCTCATCTTAATATTGGTATTACATTCACCTCTACTTAGGAATGCAACGTCATCGTTGCATCCTTTTTTTAAACCCTTAGATCTTCTCATTTAGGTGAACTAAGTTCTTTTGGCCCGTCACGATCGCAGGGTTGCTCTGATACTATTTGTAACACCCCGACCCCTACCTTAGTCGTAAGTGTCTGCTCATAGGATTGTAAAATGACCCCACAAACCAAAACAAGTCTTTCCCACACACTTTGTCCTCACTCATGCGCACCCAATGAAACTTCCCAAGGGGTCACCCATCTTATAATTTCTTCAGGTCAAGAATGCTTAACTTTGGAGTTTCTAGGTGATGAACTCTCGAAAAGAATATGCACCTTGTTGGTATGAGTAGTACTATCAATCCTTTTGAGCTCTTCCCATTCTCATCTTAATACTAGATATTACATAAAATTTAATTCAAATATTTAATATTTGTAGTATCAACAGTGCTCTTAATTTATTCACAGTATAAGGCCAAATTGTTTTGATAACATAGCTCTTACTCTATTCTTAGTCTAAGCCAATATTTTTAACCAACTCTTAAACTATAATTAGTTTAAGGTACATATCTCGAACCAACTCTTAAACTATTCCTAGTTTAAGGTACAGTTCATGCTATTTCCCAACTCTTAAACTAATCCTAGTTTAAGATATACTTTAAAATGATTTTCAATCTCATAAATTAGTCTTAGCTTAAAATATAAAGAACTGCACATCAGATTGCTCACTATCGGGTGGGTAGTATCCCCATCCTCTAGTTTTGTTTGTGGATCCCGTACTTACACTTTAACTCTGGCCACCCGGCATCATACCCGCAAGGCCTAACTAATTTTGTCACATCGGGATATCTTAGAATTCTTCTAAATACCCTTATAAATCAATATCGTTTTCATAATCATTATTTAAATCAAAATATTTGTGTTTTTAATTGTGGTTCAATCATATTTATCATGGTTTAATCATTATAATCAATAATCAATAACAATCATTGTTAGTTCCATGGTGTTGGTTAATCTTTTGGCAAAATAGAATCCCATATTTGTAAGGTGTTTTACTAGGTAGAAACCTCTATTTGTTAGGAGAGGTTTATTTTATTTAGACTTCTTGAGTTGTTGCAGTTTTCAAGGTTGACACAGAAGATGCTACAGCATGATGCTGTAACACACTATTCGGGATCAGAGGTCCGAGCACGAGATTTTAAGTTGCAATCTGAACTAGAGACCTATTGAGATTGTGATTGCATGATAATAACTCCAGCTGTACATGCTAAGGAATCCCAACTCTTTAGGCTACTTGTGGATCAAGATTAAGGAAGTAGAGTTCAAGCCAACTTCTACTAACCTATTAAGAGAAGCCTATAAATACGCAGCAGGTCTATGGGAATTACTTGGACCGACCGAGAGGGAAAATAAAGAATATACGCTGATGTAGAGCATTTCCGTCGCGTCCCGGAGCTTCCATGCGTGAAGAAGGTTACGATCTACATGAAGGAGGAGATCTTCAACGCCAAACAGATCGTGACATCCAGGAGATGAACTAGAGATTAAGGAGAGGGCTGCCAACACGTTTGTCCTCGTGATCTCGGTGGAGATGTGATAGCCGAAGCGGATCTGAACAGAGTTCGGGTTAGAAATCCTAGATTAACAGTTTTGTCATAACAGTTCGGAGAAGTGTGTCTCATCATGTTGTTATGTACCGGTGTAACTTGCATCTAGTGATTTAGTGGAGGGCTATTACACGGACGTGGGCCCCGCAGACTAGGAGAATTTGCTCCGAACTGCGTAAACATATCTGGTGTTATTTTTTACGCTTTTTACAGTTACAGCATTCTGCCCAGTAGGCGCTGTAACGCTCTCTACATCATCTGCTTCTGTGTGCGTGCTTGTGACAGAGAAGTGTTATAGCACACTGTCCGTCATCTGTTAGTGTGACGGTGCTGCAGTGTCTTCTCTGCAGCATAGCTGGTTGTTTTGTTTGCATAGCTCGTGTTTGGTGTTATCTGCTGTGCCCCCCACGAACTTACAATCATCATAATATTCGATAACAAATATTGGCTTATCTTCAAGTATTAACACCCTAGCTTACCGTCATGTATCACAAAAGGTTTTTGGATTGGTTAAAGCATCATTTTTACTTCCAAAAATCATTTTCATATTGATCATAGTTGAATGGTATCAAAAATATGATTTTATAGCTTCAAAATCAGATTTTTCGTCAAGGAAAATGTTCAGAACGGTCAATTGTTACCGTCGGACGGTCAACTATTTCTGTTACCGTACTGATTTGGAAATTGGGCACCGAATGGTACAACCTCTACCGTTCGAAGGGTAGTTGGTTACCGGGGGTAGATCGTGGCGGGATGATCGATCATTCAAACGGTACCTAGCTACTGTTCTGGCGGTATCTTGCTACTAGATGATACTGTTCATCGTCTTCTTCCTCGGGTCCATTTTCGAAAACATCATTATATGTCACCAAACTTCAATTAAACTATATATAAATATTATCCAAGGTTCATAGATAATTTTGGTATCAATAATTCAAAATTTTAACAATAAATTCAAGGTTTATGACTCTTGGTTCTTCAAACATGTCAAACACAAAACTCAACCAAATGACCTTTTATGAATGTAGAAACGATCTATATGAACATTCTAATAACTAGATATATCTAAATGCTCACCTTGGGTTTAAACGATCATTTTGGAAATTTTCCAGCGAAACTTCCAGCGACGATTACTCCCAACTCCGGTGACCTCGACGACAACAACAACCTATTGCAGAATGCTCTCCTCACTCTCAAGAACACAATGGTACTAAGTTTATTCAGTTTGGTGGAGAAATGAGAAGATTAGGTTCTCCGTATATAGTGAAGAAGAGGAAGAAGGTGCGAGGCTTGCTGCGCATACGTGATTCACGATCGGCATAGTGGAGGAGGAGGCATCGTTTGTACCCGTCTTCCCCGATTGAGACTAATTTGGTTCCAGTCGGGGTACACTTTCTTGTCCAACTTTCTCCAAATTATAATTCGATTGCACCATTGCGATTAGACAATCAAACTCTATCTATCGATATAATTTTTATATTTATTTGTAATACTTTTTTCAGGTTTACAACTAGGGCTTTGTTCTTTTCGGTTGGAAAAACAGAGTTAGATGTTGGAAAAAACTGGAATGCGTTGAAACAAACGGGAAGAAGTTGGAAAAATCTAGAAAGAGTTGAAAAAAACTTAAAAGAGTTGAAAGTAATTGAAGGAGTTGGAAAAACTATAAAGAGTTGGAAGAAAATCTCATTTTATTTTTTCTTTTATGTTGTTGTATTTTATCTCATATTGTATTTGTAACCTTTTTTTTGTAACTCACACTCTTTTTTTATTTTTTAAAATCAACATTAATCATATAATTTTTTTCCAGTTGTATGTCACTAATCCATGTTACAAAAATAAGAAAGTAAATGAATCAATACATTTTAAAATATCTCAAACCCTTGTATGCACTAACCTCAGAGTCTGAATATATTGGCACTATTTTTATGCATTTTTTAGCTAATAAAATGAATCAATACATTTTATTAGCTTTAGCTGGACTTAAATAATATAAAGGAGGGAAAAAGAAAAAATGCATAAAAATAGTGCCAATATATTCAGACTCTGAGGTTAGTGCATACAAGGGTTTGAGATATTTTATTTTCAAAGATTTGCTATTCTTTTTTTATTAGGAAAAATTTATTATTCTAAAACAATGAGAGAAAAAGAAACAGGGGCATGAAAAGACGCCAATTCATTCCCGTAAAAAGTTCCACTATTTTGCTTTTCGTGTGTTCAAGAATATCAAAACAATTTTTTTTTTCTTTTTTAATACATTTTTTATTTTATAAAAGTGAAATAGATAATATTTTTGCAACAGAGGTAGGATATGTGATATATGCACATTTATAAAATAAACAATGTTAACTTTACACAGTTATTTCTTCTTATATATGAACATCTAATTTTTTTTGTATATGCTTAGAACATGCAAATTATCAAATTATACACGTTCAAAAGTTATTTAATGCTTAATGAAATAAAATAGAGTACGAAATTATTTTGGTCAAAATCTTAAAACATCGACAAAAATACATTTCAAAAAAATATACGTAGTTAACAAAAAATTTAAAATCACAAAAGAAATGATAAATTAGTTAATTTAAAATTTTAATGATTTTCTTTAATCTATAATGGTAACTAAACCTTATATTCATGACAAATTTTTACAGTAACAGATTTTGACAGTAAATAACATTTTTATTTTATTGAGATAATAATAATAATAATAATAATAATAATAATAATAATAATAATAATAATATAAAATAAACTTAAATAATTTTTTTAAAGTTATTATTGGAAGAAATTGAAAGAAGTCTAAAAAAAACTAAAAGAAGTTGGAAAAACTGGAAGGGGTTGAAAAAAACTTGAAGAAATAAGAAAAAATTGGAAGGATTTAAAAAAACTTGAAAGAATTGAAAGAAAATAGAAGGAATTGGAAATCAGAGTTGAAAAATATTACGGAGTAGAAGTTACGTGTTAACGCTCAAAAGAATAGAACTAAATCAACTTTGCAACCTTTAGATCTATGTATCAATTTGAATCGGATTAATTAAGCTAGTTGCGCATCCTAATTCAACCAACCCAATTCCATGTCAT